CAGAAAATATGAGACTATTACTGTAGATACGAGAATTTAGGTAAAGTATAATTAGTAAATAATTAAGAAATGTATTAGTAAAAATAATTATTATTTAGTAAATATAATTATAGATTAAGATTAAAATAAGTAAATAGTTTAATTAAAATTAAAAAAATTATAAAATTTAAAATTTAAAATGCGATTAAAGTGCATAATTATATTTCCAAAAATAGAAAGGACAAGTTATGTGAATGAATGAAAATAAAAAAAATGGGATAAATTATGTGGGACGGATGGAGTATAACATTTTGGTAAAATTATTTTTAATTCGATAGTTTAGAAAAACTGTAGCATTCCTAAATAATTTAAAATTTATGGAGCAGTCATCAATATTTTAGAAATTACTGTATAAATTTCTCAAATATTTAAATGTAACAAATTGGTGAAGATTATTGTTATGGAGTAAACAATTTTACATAATATTTTAATATAGAAATTCAAAAGAATTTTTAATTTAGAATTCAAAAGAGTGTTTACTTTGCGTTTGATTAGGAAGTTTTTTACTATTCAATACTTTTTTTTTCTATTAAATACTCATTTTTTTTATTTATATTATATTATAATTTAATTTTAATTTTAAAGTTAAAATATAATATCAAACAGATATGATATCAGTAGAAGTGAATCCGGTGCTGATAGGTGCACTATCAGCACTATATTGATAGAATATGAACCGTCCATCGTAATAAATAAATTTGAATGGTTTAGATTGAAGAATGGTAGAATTGCGGGTAGAATTGTCTTTTTCAATTTTAAAAAATAAATTGTAGATTTGTATATACTTAAATCTCTCTTTCTCTCTACTCTATCTTTCTCTCTTTTTTGTCTTTTTCTCTCTCGCGATCGATTGAATCGCACCGACAATCGCCACTGCCCAGCCGCGGCAGCTCCTCTCCAGCCTTAGCAGCCGCCGCCATCTTCTTCTTCTTTATTTTCTTCTTCTTTTCTATGTATCTTTTTCTCTCTCTTCTTTTTTTCTCCGAACAGTTGATCACCAGTTGTCTAGATCGCTGCCGAAAATTGTTGTTCTTCTAGCAACCCAAGACCTGCCGCGAACCACCACCGTCACCCAATTGACCCACACTGCGAACCCAAGTTTATTTCGACATTTTCTAATCTGGTATTTTTATGCTTGTTCTCTGTTTGGATATTAGTTTAAATTAGTAGTGTATATGAAAACATGTTTGTAGTGTTTTTTTTTTTGGCAATTTATGGATAATATTCATAATGTTTGATAGTACATTAACATGCTAAACACAATACAGGGAGATGCTTGTTCGTATTAAATAAAATGTTAGGTACATAATATCTAAATCCTTATTCATCAATTTTCTATTTGTTGTTAATAGGTTTTCGAAAGTATATTTAGAATTTATTTTTTGTGATATTTTTTGGATAATATTTATAGTATTTGATAATATAGTAACATGCTAAATACAATAAACAAATATGCTTATTAGTATTAAGTAAAATGCTTAGTTTAATATATGTAAATGCTTATTATACGATGTTCATAATATTTTGCAATTAAATCATGTGCACAAAGACTAATCCGTTGTTGGCATTGATTCCTTTAGTGCTGGAGCAATAGCCAAATATTGATCTGTAAAAATAATTTTTGGTGCACGACTACCGATGTACTTAAAAAAATATTGAAAACCCACTTGAATGAATCTTGTATTTCTTCATACAACAACGTTACTCTAAATATAGATGTTTGGCGGTGATTATTAAATTACACGAAAACACATAATGTTGCAGTATTATTACAATCTCATATATGAAAACCATTTACGAGAAATTGAGTACATTTTATCAAGATGCTGATTTATAGAAGATGAAATGCTGACTACCGAAGTATTGTATTTAATGCGAATCGTTTTTGAATAATGGATAATTCATTTTGCTTGTCTCCATAAATTTCATCCATTAATTTTGTTGGACGAGTCTTAGTCATTTTTCTACTTGAGCAGCTGAAGGAAGGAGAATATAAATCTAAGTTAGTTATAAAAGTTATAAAAATTTGAAAATTACTATTAAACATCTAAATTAATCCAATGATTAAAATTTTTGATCTGATAGTTAATATTGAATCAGCATAATGATTATGTGATATTTTATTTTATTTATTTTAATTATTTTTTATTAATTTATATAAAAGCGGGGTTTATATACATATTGATAATTATTAGTTAGATTCTTTTTTAACAGAAAATTTCTACGTAAATAATTATTTTATTTTATTTTATTTTATTTTTTAATTCAAAATTAGGTTTTAGGTTGGTTGGCGAAATGGGAGAGACGATTACACATTAATATGGAGGTATGAGTACTTGATTTATTATTGGCATTATCCAATTTTATATACTCCCTTCGTCCATTTACAATGTTTATATTTACTTTTGGCGCGGTGTTAAAAAATAATAATATTTTAATTATAGTGAGTAGTTAAAAGTAATGTAATAACATTTTTGTCCTTACTTTTTTGTATAAAAATAACGATGTGATGTAAAGTAAGGGTATTTGTGGAAAAAAAATAGGATATTTAATAAAATATTAATTTTGTAATTGGACGTTCCAAAATAAAAATATGTAAACATTGTAAGTGGAAAGAGGGAATATTTTTTTTTGTTAATCTTTTATTTTTTAAATATTGTACAATTTTATTTTATTTTTAATTGCAAGTTCACAATAAAAGATAAACTATAATTAAAAAAAAAAAAAAAAATTCTCTTGTTCTTTCCCGATAGATATAAATTCTTTATAAATTTATTTAGATTTTATTTTAATATAAATTGTCAATAATTGTGTTTAATTTAACCTAAGTCAAAATTTAAATTGAAGTATGAATTTTGTGATAATTAATGTCAACATTGTATTACTTTTAATATTTCATGTTTGCTTTTGTTTCAAATTTAAATTTACATTTGAATATAAATATTTTGAGATTTGATTTATAATTTACTATACTTTTATATTTGATTTTATTTTGATTACTCTTTTTTTTTATATTATTTAAATTTATATATTATCTATATTATAGGATAATTATTTTCATTAATACATTCTTAATTATTTATTAATTATATTTATCGTAAATTTTCGTGTGTACGGATATCCAATTTGGGACGAAGAGAGTAATATACTACAAGTAAAATATTTTCCGGTAGTAATTATTAAAAATATATAATATACATTGAATAAATTAAAATATATAAATTTAAAATTAATATTAAAATATCATCATAAATTTTTATTGAAATATTTTAAAATAAATATTATATATTAATTATATAAAAATTAAAGTAATAATACAAAAATATTAATATAATATTATATAAACTTTTCGTGTGTGCATAATACAAATTTTCCGATAATATATATTATATAAAATAATTATTTTAATTTAAAAGTTTATTATTTAAAATTCAATTCGCAATCAAATACATAATTACAATTTTTTTAATTATTAAATTAATAATATTTTATTAAGAAATACTTTGATATACACAATTACATTTTTTTAGACTATTAAATTAGTTTTTTTTAATTAAAAAATACTTTGATATAAATATTATTAAAAAATATATTTGTAAGTAAAATTTTTAATAATAATAATAATAAATCAAAGTGAAGAAACCCAATAAATTGCTAGTCAAAGGGAAGGATAAGCTAAAGAAGCACCGCACCCATTGTTTTGTTTGTATTGCTTCACAGCTCACAGACACGGTTTTTCCATTAAATGTGTATTTGGGAAAAATTAATTTAGATTTTTTATATTAATATTTAATAAGATATTTTATATATAAAAAAATATATGTATAATTTTTAAAAAATATGAAATTTAATATAATATTTTTTTAAAAATTTGAATATAGAAACAAACTCATTTATTTAAAATGAATATATAAATTTATTATTATTATTTTTTATTTTAGTTCGTCTCGTAACAAAATATTTATTTACTTTTTGCACATGGTTTTAAAATGAACATTTAGGGTGTGTTTGTTTGGGGTTTGGATTTTGAATTGAGATTTGAATAGTAAAAATTTTGAATTTGAATAGTTGTATGATGTGATATAAATAAGTATTGATGTGATATTTTGAATGTAAAATTAATTTTTAGTATAATATAAAAATTAAAAAATAAATGTTTGATTTAATATTTTTTAAAGAAAAATTAAATGAATATTGTAAATCCAATCAAATCCTCCAATCAAACACATCCTAGTTATCGGAAATGACCTTGAATGCTCTGGAAGTTGGCAGCTATAAACAACTGACAGGTCAAACCCGGAAATATGTCAATTTGTGTAGCCTTTTCCGTCAACCAGTATGGAAAAAAAACACGTGCATAAATAAATAAAACAAAATTATCGGTAACTTCATTTGATTTTGAAATTTATCTTAAAATTTTTTTACTTTAAAAATTTATATATTATTTATATATTTTAAAAAATATTACATAAAATTTCACTGTAGTTAAATTTTTATTTTACTTTTAAAATATTAATTTTTATTTACTTTTTAAATATTACAAAAAAGTTCGCCATACAAAACAAGTACAGATAAAAAATATTTTTTCATCAGCATAAGGAAGTTTTCATATAAAGAAATACTTTCTCCGTCCACGGAAAAATTATAAATTACGGAAAAATTATAAATTTATTTTTTGGCGTGAAATTTAAGAAATAATAGTATTTTAATTATAGTGGGTAGGTAAAAGTAGTACAATGACATTTTTACTTTTGTTTTTTTGGTATAAAAGTAATGATGTGATGTAAAGTAAGAGTATTTGTAAAAAAAATAGGATATTTAATAAAATAATTACTTTGTAATTGGTATCATTTAATTTTAAAAATAGTGAAATTTTACGCTGAATTTCAAAATATATAATTTATAAACAATTTTATCAATAAATATATAAAAATAAAAATAAATATAATGGTATATTACTGTATCTCCCTTTCCTTTCCTTCTCTTTCACCTTCTCCGGCTCGGCGGCTCTGACGATCAGATCAGATCGGAGGAAAAAATCACATCATCATCAGATCTGATTTTCCCTCCTTCCCTTCCCATCCCCACCTCTCTTCCATATGCTCATTCACTAGCCCAATACGAACAAACCCTTCCTTTCCGCGCCTCTTCTGCTTCGATTCCTCTGATTTACAGTCCGCCAGCCTCGTCGTCTAATTTGGATTTTTGATAAAATCTTGTAGAGGAGGAATCTATTGTTTCATGGATTCGGATGAGTTTCGGGCGATTCTCTCGAGATCGGGCGTAGACGTCTGGGGTGTGATTGAGGCGGCGATTAGAGTCGCCGGCTCGGACTACGGCGAGGAGTTGCGCCGCCGGAGAGACGGAATTGTTGAGCTGCTTTACGCGCAGCTGTGTCGGAGTTGCGGCGGAGCCATCGACGATCAGGAGAACGCTTTTCGTAATCGTGGGGACAATAATATTAATAACAACGGTATCGATGATGTGGAGAATGATAAACACAACCGCTTGAGCAATAAGAAGTTCGAAACCAATGAGTTGAAACGCGGTAGCAATTTCAATGAGGATTATGGTAGCAGTCCGTTGACTCCGGAGTCGAACAATCGGAATTTCAGTGGTGGAGAAGAAGGTGAGGAATTGGCTCCCTACGGAGGGTTGTTTGATGATGATGAGCAGACAAAAATTCTCAGCATCAAAGAGCAACTTGAAGATCAAAATCTGGTTCAACTCTTAATGCTTTATATCATGCCTGCTGTACTGTACTAGTTTGTTCAACTACATACTTATTCGTTGTGCAATTTTGCAGAGTGAAGATGTTGTTGTGGAATTGCTGCAAACCTTGGCAGATATGGATATTACCTTCCAAGCACTGACGGTGATCCATCATTGCATTTATCTGATTAGGAACTATTATTGACAATCAGTGGTAGTATGCTCTAGTTTTGTTTATTGTGCAGGAAACTGATGTAGGAAGGCATGTGAATCGATTGAGGAAGCATCCATCGAATGATGTTCGCATATTGGTGAAGCAGCTTGTCAGGTTTTCAGCTTGATCCCCAACAAGGATTAAAAAAGTCACAAACATATTAAAAATTGGATGACAATTGAAATACCTGCCTTTGAATTCATCACTGATGTCTGGTTTAGTTTCTGCATTTAGTTTTGGAATTTTTGGTGCTTCTTTGAATGCAGGAAATGGAAGGAAACTGTTGATGAATGGGTCCACGTGAACGAACAACCACAAACAGCATCAAACCTTATTGGTAATTATATTTAACATTTTCAATCATGGAAATCCTTCTATGTTGCTCTATAAAGTAGTATCTTTGAATAAGAATGAATGTTACATGCGAAAAAAATAATAATAATAATAACAAAAAAACAAAGAGATTCTTGTGTTAATATTAGAGGTGGTGGTGATGGCAGCTGATGTAGACTCACCTCAGCAGAGCATGCCCAAAAATCAGCAAAATGGCCATCACCAGGTGAATTGAATGTTGTTCCGATCTGTTATTTTTTGCGAAAACGACAAAAGCATGAAGCAAAAGGAATTAAACTGATCGAATAAAGTAATTTTGCATCGAAGAAAGTTTGTGGACTTCCAAACTTCTTGGGTTTTGCAGGTGTCGCATAGTGGATACTCTCCCAATCCTCGGAGTGAGTATCAAATCAGAATTTTCAATCTTTTTTGCAGTTGGATTCTTTGTGGGGCCTTAGATTAACTTTGTCATTGTCTGGCACTCTCTGTTCATCACAATTTAGGTGCCGAAAGGAATCATGCTGAACATGACATAAAGCCTAAACCTTCCCCATCGATACCTCGAAGAGAACCTGCTTCGAGGCCACCACAATCCATTCCTAAATCTGCACTACCTCCTACAATTAATGTAATAATTCTTTCCGAGCTCACGCATTTTAATATGCTAGATCTACCTAATCTGGCGACACAAATAATTAATAGGTGAAATTTGACACGTGTTCTTACCTGAATCGACGGCTGTGTTGTTTCTACTGTAGGCTCTATTATTATTATCATACAAAGTTACTGCACTCTTATCATTACATGGTGTTAGCTTGTGTTAGATGAATATATGTTATGATGTGCATTACGTGCCAGGCATTTCTAGACGGATCGTGATGTGATTTTTGTTGTAAAATTGGGATATATAGAAGAGTGTGATTAAAATTTTTCCCAAGTTAATGAGATTGGATTTCGCAGAGAGCACAAAGGGAGCCTGTCCTGGATGACGAAAGACTGAATTCAGCAAGGCGGCGTCTTCAGGAGAACTACCAAGAAGCTCAGAATGGTATGTAATTAAACTTTTGCTTTACACAATCAAATAAGGATGTTTTGTTTAAGTGATAGATTTGATTAGTAGTCTTATCCCATCTAATTATATGATCATTAAGGTTTGATAAAATTTGATTTCACAGCGAGCACTTAGGAGGCGTTTGGTACAAAGAATGAAATGAGAGTAGATAATGAAACCGTAGAAAGAAAAAAAAAAAAATTCACTACTGAATGAGAATTAGTTATTTTGTTTGATAAAACAGAAAATTAAGTTGAACCATGTAAAAAAATACAGCTGTTTGGATGGATCGATCAAGAATAAATAATTAATCCGGTAAGGAAAAGTTTTAACGAGTGAGAATCTATAAAAGGATGTATTTGGTGACTTTTTTTGTTTAAATAATAGATTCTATATTATGATGTTTTGTAAGATCAGATTTTTTTAAAAAAAATTTATAAATTAAATACTTGAATAATAAATTATATGTGATGTTTTGTAAAATTGAAATAATATAAATTTTAAAAAATATAAAAATTAAATAGTAAAAAAAATAAAAATAATAAATATACTGCAACAATATTCATTTCTCTTCGAATATAGAAGAGAAATGAAAATGATTTATTTCTCAAGCTTGATTTCTCTAATTCAAACAAACAAAAAAAATGAAAATGAATGCGCTCTGAAAACCCTATACCAAACACACCCTTATAGAATCAGATAATGTAATAATGAATCCAAGTGTAGGTACTTGACATACCTAGTAGTATTATTAGCTTCAGATACATTTTTATGCTTTCGCACTGATTGTCGTTATAATATATGAAGCCAAAAAGCAAAGGACAATTCAGGTGATGGACATTCACGAGATCCCGAAGCCAAAGAAAGCTTTCATTCCCAAGAACAAAGGCAGCCTTCAGGGGAGACATCACTGGTGAATGGTAATCTATTTTTGATGGTTTGTAATGTTTAATTTACGTGCTACTGTTGTTTTCTGATGAATGGGGTGACTTTGCCCGAAGGCACTTAGTTTCACCCTTTCTGCATTTCGCCTTTAAATTAAAAGGACAACTTTCATAGTAGATTATTTGAGTTAACAACACCAAATAATACTCTTATGTATTCTTCATACATGTGCTGGCTGAGGTAGATTGGGTTTTTTCTTGTTCGATATTGCCATGGATTTGGTTGGAAATGGCTTTACATGACACCTTACGTGACCATAGTCTTTCACATGTGTAAATGCTAGCGTGCGAATGAATGTGCATTTTTTTTTTGGTGCTAGAATATATTGTAATGAATAATGGCTGAACTTGGAATGTGTATCTAGTAATTTACATACACTATAATACTATTATTTTGATAATAGAGTCCTTGTTTTCGCGTAAATGTTTTTGTTACCGTCATTTTGAGTTGAAACAAAGAATTAGCCTAATATTTACCAATGTTAGCTTAGTTGAGCTCATTTGGATTTACTTAAATACGCTTCGATTAGATTGCTGATTAGGTATTTATCACACCATATATGAAAATACTATAAATAACATATGAAAATCTGACGGACAACATATTATATTAAAATTACTAGAATATGATGTCAGTTCTATTTTATGATGATTTAGTAGGGGTAAATTAAAAATGTGCTTTCTATTGAATGTTGTATATTTATCTTTGTGGGAATTGAATTCTCTTAAGTTTGAGCATGGGATTGCATAAACATGGAACTTGAATTGTCATTATATTTCAATCACTTAAAATCTCTTGGGTATTTAAAAGCTAGATTAGACTTAGACTAGCCTGTTCTTTTCTATTAACAGACTGGATGATATTATTTAATAATTGTGGAGGTGATAAATGTTTGGTTTGATTTGATTTGGTTTCATCTTTAACTAAACTCTAACAATTGTAAAAATGACTAAATTGCACAAAATCTACTTGTGGGTTTATGAAATTGCGATCAAATTCTTTATATTTCTAAAACTGCTTTAAATTCCATCGTGATTTAATGAACTCTGCGTCTAATCCTCTCGACAGTCCTTATTTAATCTAAATGTCTCCAAATTGGGAATACATTTTAGAATCTCAATTTCTAAAGTCCTAAAATTACAAATATATTTATTTTTTTTATATTTAGCCTCAATAAATAGTAAATATATTCAAAAATAGTTATTTTTTCGGGTATTGAGGCTAAATATAAGAAGAATAAATATATTTGTAATTTTAGAGGTTTAGAAAATCGCAGTTTGTGGGCATTTAGGTCAAATACTGATGTCGAGAGATTAGACGCAAAGTTTATAAAATCACGGGAGTATAATGCATGCAGTTTGTGCAATTTAGCCCTGTTTCGAATTTAATTTCTAGGGTTGCAAAAAGTGTTCCAAATTTATTCTGATTGATTCATTGTTAATTCTTCATTAATTTTTACTTAATGAATAATAATTCTTCACAAAAATGTTTATAATTTGGCTTGCCTTTTGCTCCGGCTTTGGTTTGGTTTTGGATTGGGTTTGGGCCTCTTATGTATCTTTTGCGGATCGGACTTGCATTAAATTATTTTTTATTGGAACATAATATTTGAGCGAGATTTATGGAGTTGTAAGTTAGAAATTGAGTTGAGTTTGAATTTTTCTGGATTGAAATATTTGAATTGTTGTTTAGTTGGAAGTTGGTTTTTGTAATAATGATTAATTGATTGATGGTTAGTTATTTAAAGTGAAATGTATTGATTCCTGTGATGTTGTGAATTAATATATATATATAAATTTAAGAATAATGATATATAATTTTTGAAATATGTTTTTTTGTAATATTTCATCCGTCATTCAAATTTATATTCACTTTTCTTTTTGAATTGTCATAAAAAAAATATTTTATTTTTTTTAAAGTAAAAAATCATTACATATTTGTATTTTTTTTATTATAAAAGAAAAAAATAACAATTATTATTCACTTTTATTAAAACTCGTGTCCTATCAAATGATCACATATTTACATGACAAAGGGGGTACATTTTGACTAAAAAAAAATAGCTTTCGCTAATTTAAAAAAAAAATGTTTAGAATATTTTTAGGTTTATTTCCTCACATTTTTTTCTGACATGATTTTCGATATATATATATATTATTTGATTACAAAAGTCAATATTCAATATAAAATATTATTTTTCATATTAACAACATAAATTTTAATATGTCACGTCAAATTAAATAAAAAAAAAGGTATCAAACAAACAACTCGTTTGTGATACAGCAGATAGGAAAATAAAAAATGAGAACTCATGGTGCAAATTTTTTTATTGATCTTACAAAAATATAAAGGCATCATATTTATTTTTATGAATTTGCTTCGTCATACATACATATTACATAACATTACTGCGAAGTTATAAATGAATTTTGCAAACACAAAAAATGGAATAGCATTCTAAACATACGAGGAAATGAGACGTAAGAAATGAACGTAGACGAGCACTGGCCATCAACATTGTCCATATAAAATACATTTCACATCGAGTACTAAAATGCAATAGATATAGAACATAAGTAGACAAAATAACTGGTACACGGTACAGGTCCACAAACATCGTCAATGACTGGTCTTTTGCTACATATACATAATGACCATAGCCAGCATGAACACAATTATGCCTATGGAACAACAACAATAGTTGTATCCATATCGCCGTTGCTGGTCATTACCAGTCGCAATGGCATTAGCATGCGTCTCCTACTCAGTCCGCGTGGACGCATTCACCAGTAGTACCTTGTGAACGTGGGGGGAGAAAATTCCTCCCACCTGTGTTACGTAAATATCTATGCCAATCATCGGGCTGTGGAAATGTGTCCCGACCACGTTCACAAACACGGCATACATGGTGCAGACAACCCGGGTTAGCTGCAGATTGTGAGACACGTTCCGGCATCTCAGATTGACAACGTGCACATCGGGGTATTATATAATTGTCATACATCATCACTGCAATGGTAAGAACATAGAACAAATATAATACATACGTGTAATAGCATTGCATATGAGGTAAGTTCAAGTGAATATTTAAAAGTAGTGCAATCAGTGTTTCACACCACAACGCATATAGCAAAATATTTCAACGTAAGTTTGGACTAAGGTAAATCCACTTCGACGGCCGTACGGGACGAGTACAAAATAAAAATACAAATCGAATACATACTACGTAGATGTTTCTCAAACCCGCTTCCAGAAGTCAGTCCACATAACGTCTCTCCCACATTCTGCATCCCGGCATATCTTCTAGTAAACGTTAATGTTGTATCGATCCGAATGGAGTAGGAATATTATAAATACCCGAATATTCAGGACCATTTTATGGGTCAGGGTGCAGTCCAGGTATGTAAAACTCGTCTGCATCCTCATTGTTGTGCAATATAATATTATGAATGGTGGGCACATGCAAATACAAGTTGGACTTGCCTGAAAAACTCGTAATTAGGCATTGGTCTGTGAAGAATTGCAAACCGGCATTTTAAGCAACCAAATGTTCGCTCGATGATGTTCCTGATCTGCGCATGACGATAGTTGAAAAGCTTTTGCAGTCCTGTGGGCCATCTGCAGTTACCTCGGTAGTCTTGCAGGTCGTACCGGTGTTATCGGTACTGGGTATGAATTTGAGGCGTATTCCAATACCCTGAATCGCCTAGATAGTACTTTCCCAAGAAATGAGTTTTGGTGTGAGTGAATAACCAAAATGTTGATGCACATTGGTAGTTGTACATATAAAATGGTTGGTGCGATGCCTAGTTGACCTGGGGGTAGAGTTGTTAACGAGCCGAGTCGAGCCAAATTTTGAGTGTTCGCATTTGTTCGTTAAGCTTAACGAACAATGCTCGTTCGTTAAGCTTTTGAGCTCGTTTATAGCGTTCGAGCTCGGCTCGTTTAAAAATTTTAATGTTTGAGCTCGTGTTCGTGTTCGGCTCGACTAGGCTCAGTTGGGCTCGGTTAAGCTTGTTCAAACTCGTTTGTCTCATTTTTTAAATTAAAACATGCATTAAATCATAATTCATAAATAAAAAACAAAAAAAATTCCACTACAAACTTAATTCCAATTCAAACTTAATTCAACATAATCCAATCATATTTAACTCAAACTTAATCTAACATAATCAAACCAATTCAACACAAACTTAATCTAACATAATCCAACAAAATACAACATCCGACTTAATTCAACACAAACTTAATCCAATCTAATCCAACACAAACTTAATCCTACATAATCCAACACAATCCAATATAAACTTAACATCAACAGAATCCAACACAATCCAACTTAAACTTAACATCAACACAATCCAACATAACCTTAAATGGAAATACAATTTTTTCAAACATAAAATCATGATATGTCATCAAACCATCGATGTATCAAATGATCGTATCTTTAACGCTGAAAATCTGCAAATATTAGTATATACATATGTTAGTATATCTAAATATCAATCAAGTACACTTATAGAATAAAATAAGTACCCGGATATAAAATCATGATACGTCATCAAACCATCGATGCATAAAATTATCGTATCTTTAATGCTAAAAATCTGCAAATATTAATATATACATATGTTACTATATTTAAATATAAATAAATGCAACTATAGATCATAAGTACAAAATACGTACCCAAAAATAAGCTACCAAATTGCTAATTCATCAAGGAAATACGACCTTTACCTTTGAAAATCTGCAAAAATAATAAACACAAATATCAATATATGTAAAATAAAAATAAATGGCTAAATTAAATACAACTTGGAAGTTCAATTTCTTTATAATTAAAAAACTCCTTAGCATCCAACTCTTCCCGTAATAAAATACAAAATTATATCAATTTACTTTATTATAAAATAAATAAATAAAGAAAATAAGAAAAATATTACCTTTTTTATGGAGTATTTTTTAAGGCCATCCAAATTTCTAGTCCAATCATTTTCACAAAGTAACATTTGCACCGTATCAACCAACATATAAGCCCGACGATCATCAATAACTCTACCACCAGCGCTAAACGTAGACTCAGAGGCCATTGTGGTTAGAGGAATAGATAATATATCACTTCCCATCCTTGCCAATACTCAAAACCTCAATCTTTTTCCTTTCCACCAACCCAAAACATCAAGGTTTGCATTGGCATCGCAATCATATCTACTTTCACTCAAATAGACATCTAAATCAGATTT